AGGAAGGCAGATGCTATACATAAAACAACCATAAACAACCAAAGAAATTGGAGAAATAAAAGAAACAAGAAAAGATACGTAAGAGATTGATTGCAAGAGGGGGAATTGAATGAATGTGGAAGCTCCATATGCAAGAAAACATTGCAAATTAACACTTGCAAAGGTTTGCCGGCCACAGTAAGCTAACTGCCGTACCAAGTAGACGAGCTATGTATGTACTGACATATTCAAAAGAACGTTAAATTGCCGCCATATAATGTTGGTAGTGCCGTACAAACAAATTACTGACAGTTCAATGCCTCTATTATCATCATTTACCGTCTTTAATTTATGCATAAATTTTATTACACTAATTTTTTATTAAATTATTACATATAATTTCATCTCACAATTAAACTCATACTAATATTAAAATGTAATTAGATTAATGAATTCACTCACTCAAATTGAAGTAAAATAAAAGATTAAAAGAATATGAAACCTCACATTAAAAAAAAAGGTAAATATAAAATTTAGTACTCAATCTTTATTGTAAGTATTAAATATTATTTTAATCTTTTAATTAAACTAAAAACGATCCCTAACCACACTTGACTTCATAACCCGATAGTTACGTGCTTCATGATGATAAGGTGCACCCTTCAACTCCGATATAAATGGAGGGTACAAATAAGAGTTTTGGCCAACCAGAAACTACCATTAATTACAAGTGAAAATGAAAGTACTTTGATAAAAATGTGATGTAGATCGAGAGGAAAAGGATGACGTTCTCGAAAAGGGAAAAATTTCTGGATCGGGTGAAATGAAAACGTTATAACATGAAACGGTTGTGCCATGGCCGTTCGCCTCAACGCTTGCTTGCCCATGAGAGTCTAAGATGGAGAGGAATGAAGGCCTCTGAAAAAAGGGGAAATCTTCTAACCCTAACCTGGGGTTGGGAGGAAAAGGGCTTTAATCTCTGTTAACGTTGATGGAGATTTGTGTTTTCTGTTAAATTTCATCTCCCGTTACATTTTAATGACGTGTATTAAGAGAGTTGAGCTGTTGTATTTTTATTGAACGGGCACGTGGGTGGTATCATCGTGATATTCTAGAATTTCTTGGAGGAGAGGGAGAAAATCCAAGAACAGAACCTCGACGAGGTGTATAGTAAGGTGATGCAAAAATGTGATCATTTAGTTTTAAAATTTTAAAAATTAAAAGAATTAATAAACTAAAAAAAATAATATATGACTTTTTTTATATACACTATAATAGTATTAGATATTTATAATCAAATCGAATTATTAGTTTAATTTGAAAATAAAAAAATTTTAATCGAGATTAAAAAATTTTTTTAACCAGGTAAAAAATTTAAGAGATTAAAAAGAATGTAATTAATTTTTTTTTTAATTTTAATTTTTTTTAAATTGAGTAAATCACTTGATTTGATTATAGATATTTAATATTATTTTTGTATATATAATAAAGTAATCTACTTATTATTTTTAATGATTAAATTTTTAGAGTAAAATTATTATATTTTTAATCTTTAAAAGTTAATTCTGTAAATATTTTATTTTAACTTTAACAAAAAATTAATGATTTTCATTTATTTAGGGGTTAAATTCTCTAAATTTTTAAATTTAAGGAATAAAAGTTCTATATTACAAGGTGATGGACTAAAAATTTTCAATTTATTAAGGTGAGGGCTTCAATTGTATGCTTTAGCCTTTTAACTTCATCCCTAAGCCTTCTACCAAAAAAAAAAACTTCATCCCTAAGCCCGTAAATTCCAATAACCCATTTCTCTCTGCTCCTTCCCAGCCGATGGGATGAAATCTCAGTTGTGATTTCCCTAAGCCCGTGAATCGTGGACTCTGTGGCTGCTTCTCTCACATTCTTGTCATCGGCCACTCAAACCACTCTGCGATTGCGTGCATCTTCCCCTGAGTTTTCATCATCTCTCGCAGGTTCTAGATCTAAGCCCTAATCTTTTCATTTGGTTTTTTCTTCTTTTAGTTTGCCTTCTATTGATTTGTTGTTATTGTTATTGTTATTGTTGTTCTTGTTATTTTTTCGTTCTCCCGAAGTGACTTGCTCTCATGGGTAGTTGCCCAATCTTTTGGATTTAAACCCAGTAGTTTTGTGATTAGATCTTTATAATTTGCTAGCAAAATCAACCCCATTTTTGGTAGATTACAGATTATTTTGAGCTTTCTGTAGTTTCATTCTACTGATAAAAGCCCTGTCTTTGGTAGACTTGATGCAGGGAAGGTAGGGGTAGAACAAACAGTAAGTAAAC